AATAATCACTCTGAATGTAAATAGACTAAATACTACAGTCAAAAACAGGGTATCAGAATGGATAAGAAAAAACAAGATCCATCTATATACTTCCTACACAGGGCCTATTTTACACCTGAGGACACCTGCAGATTGAAAGGGAGGGGATGGAGAATCTTCTATCATGCCAACAAGCATCAAAAGAAAGCCAGAGTAGCCATACTTAATCGACAAACTAGATTTTAAAATAAAGACTATAACAAGAGATGAAGAAAGTCATTATATTGGGGCGCCTAGGTGGCTCAGTTGGTTAGGCGTCCAACTTCCGCTCAGATCATGATCTCGCGGTTCGTGGGTTCAAGCCCCGCGTCGGGCTCTGTGCTGACAGCTAGCTCAGAGCCTGGAGCCTTTTCCGGATTCTGTGTCTCCCTCTCTCTTTGACCCTCCCTGCTAGCTCGCTTGCTCGCTCTCTCTTGCTCTCTCTCTCTCTCAGAAATAAATAAAACATTAAAAAAAAGAAAGTCATTATATCATGATTAAGGGGGTTTATCCATCAAGAAGAGCTGACAAATGTAAATATTTATGTCCCCAACGTGATACTTCCAAATATGTAAATCAATTAGTCACAACCATAAGCAAACTTATTGGTAATAATACCATAATTGTAGGAGATTTTAATACTCAATTTAAAGTAAAGTAGGGTACCTGGGTGGCTCCATTGGTTAAGCATCCCACATGGGCTCAAGTCATAATCTCACGGTACATGAGTTTGAGCCCCACATCAGGCACTGTCTATGCTGACAGCTAAGAGCCTGGAGCCTGCTTCAGATTCTGTTACTCCTCTCTCTCTGACCCTCCCCCACTAGCGCGCTCTCTCTCTCTCTCTCGCTCGCTCGCTCTCTCTCTCAAAGATAAAATAAATACACATTATTTTTTAGTTAAGCAATTAACATATTATTTAAGCAGAAAGTCAAAAAAGAAACAATATCTCTGAATAACACATGGGACGAGAAAACTTAAAAGATATATTCATAAAAATTTATCCTAAAGCAGCAGAAGTCCATATGGAACATTTTCCAAAATAGATTACATATTGGTTCACAAATCAGCCATTAACAGTTACAACAAGATTGAGATCATATCATGCATATTTTCAGACCACAACGCTATGAATTAATGTCAATTCTTCTTAAACTCTTCCCCTCAAAATTGAGAATTGGACACTTAACTGACTGAGCCAACCAGGCACCTCAGAATTCTTTCTTTTATTTTTCCATTCACTTGTTGTTTTAAATTCCACATATTAGTGAAATCATATGGTTTTTGTCTTTCTCTGACTGACTTATTTTGCTTCACATTATACACTCTGCCTCCATTCATTCATTGAAAAAGGCAAGATTTCATTCTTTTCTTTTTTTTTGAAGTTTATTTTTGAGACAGAGAGAGAGAGGGAGAGAGACAGAGTAGGGGAGGTGTAGAGAGAGGGAGACACAGATTCTGAAGCAGGCACCAGACTCCAAGCTGTCAGCACAGAGCCTGATGCATGGCTTGAACCCACGAACCATGAGATCATGACCTGAACCGAAGTTGGACGCTTAATTGACTGAGCCACCCAAGTGCCCCCATTATTTTCTTTTTTAATGTTTATTTATTTTTTATTAAAAAAATAATGTTCATTTATTTTAGTGAGACAGAGACAGAGTGTGAATGGGCCAAGGGGCAGAGAGAGGGAGACAGAATTTGAAGCAGGGTCCAGGCTCTGAGCTGTCAGCACAAAGCCTGATGTGAGGCTCAAACCCACCAAGCGTGATATCATCACCCAAGCCGAAGTCAGAATCTTAACCAAGTGAGCCACCCAGGTGCCCCAAAGCTTATTGATTGATTGATTGATTGATTGAGAGACAGAGAGAGAGAGAGAGAGAGAGAGAGAGGATCTGAAGTGGGTTCTGTGCTGACAGCAGTGAGCCTGATATGGGGCTTGAACTCATGAACCATAAGATCATGACCTGAGCCAAAGTCAGACTCTTAACCAACTGTGCCACTCACACACCCCTAGCTTTCATTCTTTTTTAAGGCATGAATAATCTGAATAACATACTTTTCCAGTACACACACACACACACACACACGTACACACATGCACACACACGCATCAGAGCTTTATCGATTCATCAATCAATGAGCTGCTTCCATATTCTTGGCTATTGTAAGTAATGCTGCTATAAACATAGTAGTGCATATATCCTTTTGAATTACTCCTCTTGTATTATTTGAATAAATACCCACTAATTCTATTTGCTTGGTCATAATGTAGTTTTATGTTTAACTTTTAAAAAAAATGTTTTATTTCTTTCTGAGAGGGAGAGAGAGAGAGCGAGAGCGTGAACAGAGGAGGGTCAGAGAGAGAGGGAGATACAGAATCTGAAGCAGCTCCAGGCTCTGAGCTGCCTGTCAGCCCAGAGCCCGACGCGGGGCTCGAACCCATGAACTTTGAGACCATGACCTGAGCCGAAGTCGGACGCTTAACCGACTAAGCCACTCAGGCGCCCCTATGTTTAACTTTTTGAGCAACTTCCATACTGTTTTCCAGAGAGGGTGCACAAGTTGGCAATAACACCTTTTTCTCCACATCTGAAGCAGCTCCAGGCTCTGAGCTGCCTGTCAGCCCAGAGCCCGACGCGGGGCTCGAACCCATGAACTTTGAGACCATGACCTGAGCCGAAGTCGGACGCTTAACCGACTAAGCCACCCAGGCGCCCCTATGTTTAACTTTTTGAGCAACTTCCATACTGTTTTCCAGAGAGGGTGCACAAGTTGGCAATAACACCTTTTTCTCCACATCCTCGCCAAAACCTGTTGTTTCTTGTCTTGCTGATTTTAGCCAGTACGACAGATGTGAGGTGGTATCTCATTGTAATTTGGATTTGAATTTCCTGGATGATAAATAATGATAAGCGTTAAGCATTTTATCATGTGCCTATTGGGCATTTGTATGTCTTCTTTGGGAAACATGTCTATTCGCGTTTTCTACCCATATTTCATTGGATTATTTGCTTTCTGTGTGTTGAGTTTTAGAATTTTTTGTTTTGTTTTAGGAGTACAATTTAGTGATTCATCACTAAATTCATATAACACCCCATGCCCATTACAAGTTCCCTCCTTAATACCCATCACCCATTCAGCCCATTCTGGGCCGACCTCTCCTCTAGCAGCCCTCAGTTTGTTCTCTATAGTTAAGAGTCTGTTGGGGTTTGCCTCCCTCTCTCTTCTCCCTTCCCCTATATCCATCTGTTTTTTTATTAAAAAAAAAAAACATTTATTTATTTTTGAGACACAGAAAGGGACAGAGCAAGAGCCAGAGAGGGGCAGAGAAAGAGTGAAACAAAGAATCCGAAGTGAGCTCCAGGTTCTGAGCCTGATGTGGGGCTTGAAACTACACACCATGAGATCATGACCCGAGGCGAATTCAGACGCTTAATTAAGCCACCTAGGTGCCTCTGTTTTTTTTCTTAAATTCTACATATGAGTGGGGCGCCTGGGTGGCTCAGTCGGTTAAACATCCGACTTCAGGTCATGATCTCACGGTTCCTGGGTTCAAGCCTCTCATCGGGCTCTGTGCTGACAGCTAGCTCAGAGCCTGGACCCAACTTCAGATTCTGTATCTTCCTCTCTCTCTCTGACCCTCCTCTGCTCATGCTGTCTCTCTCCCTCAGAAATAAATTAAAAAAAAAAAAACATTAAAAAATTCTACATAGAGTGAAATCATATGGTACTTGTTTCTTAAATTCTACATGAGTGAAATAATATGGTATTTGATTTTAATTAGTTGGTATCATTTTCTCTGATTGATTTATTTCCTTAGTGTAATACATTCTAGCTCCATCCATGTCATTGTAAATAGCAAGATGTCATTCATTTTGATGGCTAATATTCCATTGTGTATATGTTCTGCATCTTCATTATCCATTCATCAGTTAACAGATATTTGGGCTCTTTCCAAAATTTGGCTGTTGTTGATAATGCTGCTATAAACATCAGGATGAGTGTGCCCCATCATTCAGTATTTTTGTATCCTTTTATGATTTGTCTCCTTCTTTTGTTCTTTTCTTCTATGTTCACCTGTGTTGTTGCCTAAATTCCACACATTAGTGAAATTATATGGTGTTTGTCTTTGACTGACTTATTTCACTTGGCGAACTACACTCTAGATCCAGTCACATAGTTGCAAAAGGCAATATTTCCTTTTGTTTGATGGCTGAATAATATTCCATTGTATATCTTTACAATATATTCTTTTTTTTCAAAAGAATATTAAATCGTTAATTGATTACACATGATAATGGATGATACACAAGCTTTAATCCCATCTATAATTTTATCTGATACCATGATTCAATTTAGATATATTGCACAGGATGTGCCAACAATCATATTAATAACCAAATAAACTCCAGGACTTTGCTTGGGTGACCCTTTTAACGGTGAACTCCAGGTCACAACACATTAACTGTCAGTTCAACCACACCAATGTTTGTGGAGACAATGGATTCTGTGCCCAAGCAGGTTGCAAATAAAATTTCAAATGGAACCTGGCATCACCCTGAAGGAATTCTAACTTCACACTGTTGGGGTAGTTTACCAAGATGGCTTCAGAGTAGACTAACTTTACACAGCACATTTAAAAAAAGACACATTTATTCAGCGTCATGATCAGACTATTACATTTAGCAATCAACAGCATGGGTGCAAAAAAAAAAAATCTACATTAAAACCCTTTGTTGGAATGCTTTACACTTTCCACAGAACAGAAACTAAAATAACCTGTTATACAATTAGTCACAAATACAGTCCTCGAGTTTTTTGCCCATACACATGAGTATTGTCTAAAACATGTCTTCTTTGTAGCAGCTAGGCCCTGCCACCACTGTGCTTGGCTGAGTTCACAAATCTGTTGTAACCTGTAGCTTCCCTGTCACTTCTCTGGCTCTCCTCTCCTGCTAAGCTTTGTTTCCTGGCAGTAATTAAAACCTTCTGCCACTGCCATAGCTACTGCTGCTGCTGGAACCGCCATAGCCACCTTGGTTTCGTGGTTTGGCAAAGTATTGGCCTCCACCACCATAGGGGCCAGAGCTTCTGCCTCCAAAATTTCCTCCTTTCATGGGTCCAAAATTTGAAGACTGATTGTTGTAATTGCCAAAATCATTATAGCTTCCACCACCTCCAAAGTTGCTTCCATCATTACCAAATCCGTTATAGCCATCCCCACTGCCACCATATCCACCACCACCTCGACTGCCACCAAAGCCACCACGCCCACTGAAGTTTCCTCCACGACCAAAGTTGTCATTCCCACCAAAACCACCTCCACGACCACCACCGAAGTTTCCAGAACCACTTCGACCTCTTTGGCTGGAGGAAGCACTAGCCATCTCTTGTTTAGACAGAGCCTTCCTTACTTCACAGTTGTGGCCGTTCACAGTATGGTATTTTTGAATAACAATCTTGTCTACAGAGTCATGGTCATCAAATGTTACAAAAGCAAAGCCTCTCTTTTTGCCACTGCCTCGGTCAGTCATGATTTCGATCACTTCAATTTTCCCATACTGTTCAAAATAATCTCTTAGATGATGTTCTTCAGTGTCTTCTTTAATGCCACCAACAAAAATCTTTTTCACAGTTAGGTGGGCACCAGGTCTTTGAGAATCTTCTCTCGAGACAGCCCTCTTTGGTTCTACAACTCTTCCATCCACCTTGTGTGGCCTTGCATTCATGGCCGCGTCCACCTCCTCCACAGTGGCATAGGTGACAAACCCAAAGCCTCTGGAGAGCTTGGTGTTTGGATCTCTCATAACCACACAGTCCGTAAGTGTTCCCCATTGCTCAAAATGGCTCCTCAGACTCTCATCGGTTGTTTCAAAGCTCAAACCTCCGATGAAAAGCTTCCGCAGCTGTTCAGGCTCTTTGGGAGACTCTGACTTAGACATGACGGCGGTGGGAGGGGAGACTTTATCGATGCTTACTCGGCGGCGTCCACGGGCAGAAAGCTCTTTACAATATATTCTATAACCATTCATCAGTTGATGAAGATGTTGGATCTTTCCATAATTTGACTATTGTTGATAATGCTGCTATAAACATTGGGGTGCATGTGCCCCTTCAAATAAATATTTTGCAATCCCTTGGTAAATACTTAGTAGTGCAATTCCTGGGCTGTAGGGTATTTCTATTTTTTTGTCATTTTGAGGAAGCTCCAAACTGTTTTCCAGGGTAGCTACACCATGTTTCATGCTCATAACAGTGTAAGAAGGTTCCCCTTTCTCTACATCTTTGCCAACATGTGTTGTTCTCTGTTTTGTTAATTTCAGTCATTCTAACATGTGTGAAGTGGTATCTATTTGTAGTTTTGATTTGTATTTCCCATTGTTTCAGATAATGAGTGATGTTGAACATCTTTTCATGTGTCTTTAGCCATCTGTATGTATTTTTTGGAAAAAAGTCTCTTCATGTTTTCTGTCCATTTCTTAACTAGATTTTTTGGGCGGGGAGTTGAGATTGATAACTTCATTAGAGATTTTGGATATTAACCTTTTATCTGATATGTCATTTGCAAGCATCTTCTCCCATTCTGTAGGCTGCCTTTTAATTTTGTTGATTGTTTCCTTCGCTTTGCAAAAGTTTTTTAGCTTGATGAAGTACTAATAGTTCATTTTTGCTTTTTTTTTTCTCTTGCCTCAGGAGTCTTGTCTAGTAAGAAGTTGCTATGACTGATGTCAAAGAGGTTGCTGTCTGTGTTCTCCTCTAGTATTTTTATTATTTCCTGCCTTACATTTAGGTCTTTCATCATTTAGAATTTATTTTTGTATATGGTGTAAGAAAGTTGGTTCAGATTCATTTTTCTGCATGTTGCTGTCCAGTTTCCCTAACACCATCTGTTGAAGATACTGTTTCTTTTTCCCCATTGGATATTTATTATTCCCTGCTTTGTAAAAAATTATTTGACAATATAACTATGGGTCTATTGCTGGGGTTTCTAATTTGTTCCTTTGGTCTATGTGTCTGTCTGTTTTTGTGTGAGCACCATGCTGTCTTGATGATTACAACTTTGTAATATAACTTGGAGCCCAGAATTGTGAAATTTCAAGCTTTGTTTTTCCTTTTCAGAGTATTTTGTGGTTCCAGACAAATTTTGGGATTGTTTGTTCTAACACTGAAAAATGCTCATGCTCTTGTGGCATAGAATGTGTAGATTGCTTAGGGTAGTATAGACATTTTAACAATATTAGTTCTTCCCATCCATAAGCATGGAAGTTTTTTTTTTCCATTTCTTTACGTCATCTTCAATTTCTTTCATCACTGTTCTATAATTTTCAAGGCACAAATCTTTTACCTCTTTGGCTAGATTTAGTCCTAAGTGTTCTATATTATTTTGTGCAATTGTAAATGTGATTGATTTCTGGACATCTCTGCTACTTCTTTATTGGAAAATAGAAATACATCAGATGTCTGTATGTTGATTTTGTATCGTGCAACTTTACTGAATTTATGTATCAGGTCTAGAAGTGTTTTGGTGGAGTCTTGTAGGTTTTTTACATATAGTATTGTGTCATCTGTTAATAGTGTAGACTTGACTTCTTTCTTGCTAATTTAGATGTCTTTTATTTCTTTTTGTTACCTGATTGCCGAGGCTAGAACTTTCAGTAGTATGTTAAATAGCAATGGTGAGAGTGGGTATCCCTGTCTTCTTCCAGACTGTAGAGGCAAAACTTTCAGTTTTTCTCCATTGAGAATGATATTAGCTGTCTTTCATATATGGCCTTTATGATGTTGAGGTATGTTCCCTTTATCCCTACTTCTCTGAGGGTTTTTATCAACAATGTTTGCTGTAATACGTCAAATGCTTTTTCTGCATCTATAGAGAGGATCATATGGTTTTTATTTTTTCCTTTATTAATATGTTGTGTAATGTTGATTGGATTGTGAATATTGACCCACACAGGAATAAATTCCACTTGATCATGGTGAATGATTTTTAATGTACTTTTGGATTTGGTTTTATAGTATCTTAGTGAGAATTGTTGCATCCGTTTTCCTGAGGAGTGTTGGCCTGTATTTCTCTTTTGTGGAATCTTTATGTGGTATATTATCAGGGTAATGCTGACCTCATAGAATACATTTGGAAGAATTAATTCCTTTTCTATTTTTTGGAATAATTTGAGAAGAATAGATATTAACTCTTGTTTAAATGTTTGGTAGAATTCACCTGTGAAGTCATTTGGCTCTGAGAATGTTTTTATTACCAATTCCATTTCTTTGCTGGTTATCAGTCTGCTCAACTTTTGTATTTCTTTCTGTTTCAGTTTTTGTAGTTTATATGTTTCTAGGAATTTGTCCATTTCTTCCAAATTGTCCAATTTTTTGGCATATACTTTTTCACACTATTCATGTATCCTTGTTTGTATTTCTGTGGAGTTTATTATTATTTTTCTCTCTTGCACTATTTTATTTTTGTCGGCACTTTTTCTTTTCTTTTTAATAAATTTTGGTAGAGTTTAAAAGATTTTCAATTTTATTATTTTTTTTCAAAGAATCAGATCCAGGTTACACTGATTTCCTCTCCTATGTATTTAGTGGCTGTATCATTTATTTCTGGTTACAGAGGAAAACCCACAAGGCTACCTGTAAATTTCTCCACAAAATCTTGGTGGGACATATTGGAGTGGTATGATATATCAAAGTGATGAATATGAAAAATCTACAACAAGAATACTGTATCTAGGAAGGTTATCATTTAGAATGGAAGGAAAGATAATGAGTTTCTCTGACAAACAATAACTAAAATATTTCATGACCACTAAACCAGCACTGCAGTAAATATTAAAGGGGATTCTTTGAGCTCAACAGTGATATCAAAAGTGAGAAAGTCAAGAATGGAACAGAAAAAACTCCAGAAGGAATGACAAACAAATCATAAAATGGCAATAGGTAAATATTATCAATAATTTCTTTCAATGTAAATGGACTAAAGTCTCCAATGAAAACATATAAGGTGACAGGGTAGACAAAAATGAAACACCCATTTATAGGTTGCCTACAATAGACTCATTGTAGATCAAAAGACACCCGCATATTCAAAGTGAGTGGATGAAGAAACATTCAGCAAGCAAATAGATGCCAAAAGGAAGCCAGAGTAGCAATACTTATATTGGCAAATTAGACTTTAAAACAAAGACTCTAACAAGAAGCAAAGAAGAGCATTATATACTCATAATGTTGATAATCCAACAAAAATATATTACAGTCATAAATATTTATACACCCAGCAGGAGAGCACCCAAATACATATAACCATTAATAACAAACATAAAGGAACTAATTGAAAACTACACAAAAATAGTAGGGGACTTTAGCATCCCACTTACATCAATGAAATGATCATCTAAAGAGCAAATAAACAAGGAAGTAATGTCTTTGAATGGCACACTGGACCAGATCAACTCATCAGGTATGTTCAGAACATTCAATCCTATAATGGCAGAATACACATTATTTTCATGTGCCTAGAGTACATTGTCCAAAATAGGTCACATTTGTGGCACCTGGGTGGCTCAGTCGGTTAAGCGTCCGGCTCAGGTCATGATCTCACAGTTCGTGGGTTCGAGCCCAGTGTCAGGCTCTGTGCTGACAGCTAGCTCAGAGCCTGGAGCCTGCTTCAGATTCTGTGTCTCACTCCCTCTCTGATCCTCCCTTGCTCACGCTGTCTCTATTTCTCTCTCAGAAATAAATAAAACATTTTTAAAAAATAGGTCACATGTTAGGTCACAAAACTGGCTTCAGCAAATACAAAAAATTACAGTCCTGTCATGCAAATTTTCTGACCACAACACTATGAAACTAGAAGTCAACCAGAAAAAAAAAAATCTGGAAAGATCTCAAATGCATGGAGTTTAAACAACATGCTACTAAACAATGAATGGGTTTACCAGGAAATCAAATAAGAAATTTTAAAAAGTACGTGGAAGAGGCGCCTGGGTTGCTCAGTGGGTTGGGCAGCCAACTTCGGCTCAGGTCATGATCTAGTGGTCCATGGGTTCGAGCCCCGTGTCGGGATCTGTGCTGACAGCTCAGAGCCTGGAGCCCACTTTGGATTCTGTGATTCCCTCTCGCTCTGCCCCTCTCCCGCTCTAGCTCTGTCTCTCTCTGTCTCAAAAATAAAATAAACATTAATAAAATAAAAAGTACATGGAAACTGATGAAAACTAAAACCACTTGAAACAACTATTTTGAAGAAAATCATTTAAAACTACTCAAACATTCTAGTAAAATATAATATCATATATATACATTTATACATTTATATATATAAATCATATTACATTTATATATATAATATATCCACCCCACCACCCCAAGAAATATCTTTATCATACAGGAAAACACTTAAAAGTGAAAACTGTTTGAAGAGCTTTTATTCTTGATCTATATAGGTCAATTTCTGTAACCATCAAAAGCACAAAGATTTGACCTGGATTGTGATGAATTTTATATCTGGCACAAACATTACTCTTAGTCTTCTTTTTTTTAAAAAAAAAATTTTTAATGTTTTATTTATTTCTAGGAGAGAGAGAGAGAGAGACAGCGTGAGCAGGGGAGCGTCAGAGAGAGAGGGAGTCACAGACTGAAACAGGCTCCAGGCTCTGAGCTGGCAGTCAGCACAGAGCCCGACGCGGGGCCCGAACCCACGAACCGCGAGATCATGACCTAAGCGAAAGTCGGACGCTTAACCGACTAAGCCACCCAGGCTCCCCTACTCTTAGTCTTCTGCCAAAGTTAATAAATATGTTCAAATCATAAACCCTTTCAGAGCTGGAAGAGATTTTGTAGCTTAGAAATAATTGGTTTCAAACTTAATCAGTTATCTGTTCTTTTTGCAAATGTATCCTATTTTTTGGTTTAGATTCTTTAGTTTCTTGACCCTAGAAGATATGCAACATATGATTATTGGCAGCCCTGAGAAGGTAATTGACTTGCCCAATGTCAC